CGCTGGAGGCAAGCAGCTCCTCCCCCAGTTTCCACCTGCTCTTGCCCTCCCGACCCCAGGCTGGCTGGGGACACAAGTGAAGGCCACACACACAGTGTCCTGTGTTGCATCCCCACCGCCCCAGCCCAGGCCGAAGCAGAGGCCTGGCCTCAGGGTGGGATCCCTCACGGTCCATCCAGGGTGCATCTTGCCAAATGTTCTTCTGGCTTCTGCTAGAATGCTTCCACGGACAAAAACAGCTCACCGCTTCCTGCTAGGCTTTAACTCAAGGGAGCAGATAGGGCATTTAAAAAAAAATCAGATGAATAGACATTCAACAGAATCGCATGATTGCTTAGGCAATCACATGAAAGCGAAGAGGAAGTTTTGTAGTCGGACACCAGAGTTCAAAACTCAGCTCCACATTCACTAGTTTTGCGACCTTGAACACTTCAGTTCACTTTCCAGGCTCAGTTTCTCCACCTGTAAAGCGGGTTCATAATACTTGCTTCATATGGTTGTGAGATTTATTATGAGGGATTGGTTCATGTGCTTATGGAAGCCGAGAAGTCCCACGCTCTGCCCTCTGCAAGCTGGAAGCCAAGAAAACCAGTGGTGTAAGTTCCAGTCAGAGTCCACAGGTCGGAGAACCAGGAGCACCGGATGTCCAAGAGCAGAAGATGAATGTCCTGGCTGAACAGACAGTGCATTTTTCTCTTCTCTCTGCCTTTTTGTTCTATTCCAGCCCTGGGTGGACCAGAACCACGGACTTTTTCACTCAGTCTACTGCTCCAATGCTAATCTCTTTGGGAAACACCTTCATAGACACACCCAGGAGGAATGTTTTACCAGCTTTCTGGGCATCCCTTGGCCCAGTTAGGTTAGCACATAAAATTAACCATCGCAACCCTCTATCAAGTTACCAGTTACCAAGATTCCTCTGTACACTAACGTCAATCCCCAGTGTCACAGTTCCTAAGTTCAGCCCAGGTTCAAGAGGAGGAGAACTAGACCCCACACCTTGGTGGCAGGAGCAACTAAGAATCTGTGATCATCCTTAAAATTCTAAAAAAAAAAAAAAAAAAAAAAAAAGTATTTTATATAAAAATAAAAATAAATAAATAAATAAAATAAAAATAAAATAATAAAATAATAAAATAAAATAAAATAAAATAAAATAAAATAAAATAAAATTCTAACAAGAAGCAAAAGGTGTGTATGTGGGTGGAGGGGTGTTCCAGACTCCCTCCCAGGGGTGACCAGGGGGCAGCCTGCACTTGGAAGAGGTGGCCTTGCCTTGTGGAGGAAAGACCTCTTTCTCTTCTCTCATTCCTTTCTTCCCGTGTGCCTGAGGGTCCTGGGGAGGAGTTGGAGAAAGCTGGGGAGGATTCTGAGCTTTCTTCCAAGGGTCAAGGGATATCTGGAAGGTACATAATATTTGAGTCTGACCAAGATCACTCTGGCTGCTGCGTGCCGGGTGGAGTTGACTGGAGGGGCTGTTGTTTGGGGGTGGGGTGGTTTGGACCGCCCTTGGGGCCGGGGCAGGGGATGGGGCAGGAGGAAGTAGACTCCAGAGCTACTGGGGGGCTGGCTGTGGTGGCTGGCTCCACGGAGCAGGAAGAGGACGTGGGAAGGGTTCAGAGGTGTGGGGCAGTCCACAGAGGGAGCATGCACATTGGGGGAGCCTGGACGAGGGGGCAATGCCCCCCCCCCCACACCCCTAGAGCCCACCACCTGGCCCTGGCTGTTTGGGACTTCCGCAGCCTCGTTCCCATAAAGCAAGGCTGAGTGATCACAGGACGGGGTCCTCCCACCCTGCACTCATTCCAGCCCCAGCGGGGGCCAGAGACTGGTGAGGCTCCCTGAAGGGTGTCCCAGGCTGCAGGCCCCGGGAGCCCCTGCTCTGGCAGGGCTATGCCTCAGGGTCTCCTCTCTGAATACTGTCCTCCCACTCATTCCAGTGGCAGCTGGCACCAGCGTGGCTGGATGGTGACATCTAGAGGCAGCCTCCTGTCTCACGTTGCTTCTCTGCAGAATTCCGCAGCGAAGGGCCTGGACTGGTGGTGCCAGCCAAGGGCTCCCCATTGGTGTTCCCACCATGTCATCATCAGGACTGAGTGACCAAGCCACCAGGCAGAGCTCAGAAAAGACCCAGCTCCTCTGTCCCTCCATGCCAAAGCCCAGCTTGGAGTCAGCAAAGCCCCTGGAGCCCCACGTGAACCTATGGATACCCTCCCTCCCACAAGCCAAGGACATGTGTGTGGGCTTGATGACATCCCTATCCCCTACCCATTGCACCACTTTATTTCAGAGGAAGGGTCATTCCAGCCCTTCAGCCAGCCTCTTCTCACGGAGCCAGCCCCTCACCTCCACCTCACCATCCAGGCCCATCCTGTGTCCTGAGTCCCAAGTGAGAATCCCTCATCTCTCCTTAGAGATGCTTTTTATTTATTTATTTATTTATTTTTATTTATTTATTTATAATAGTCACAGAGAGAGAGAGAGAGAGGCAGAGACACAGGCACAGGCAGAGGGAGAAGCAGGCTCCATGCACCGGGAGCCCGACGTGGGATTCGATCCTGGGTCTGCAGGATCGTGCCCCGGGCCAAAGGCAGGCGCCAAACCGCTGCGCCACCCAGGGATCCCTAGAGATGCTTTTTAAAACCACTTGTTCAGGGATCCCCGGGGGGCTCAGTGGTTTACCGCCGCCTTCAGCTCAGGTTGTGATCCTGGAGACTTGGGATCGAGTCCCACATCAGGCTCCCTGCATGGAGCCTGCTTCTCCCTCTGTCTGTGTCTCTGCCTCTCTCTCTCTCTCATGAATAAATAAATAAAATTAAAAAAAAGCCACTTGTTCATGTCCATCTATCCACACCCAGAGCTTTTCTGGTACTAGACACTCCTTACCCCTTTCCTCACACCTTTTCACACCACACTCACAGTTTGCCTACTACTTCTCTGACCTCTCTGTGGGTGGTTCCTCTTCATCTGCTCCCCCCTTAATCATCCATCTACCCACCCACCCCTACCTTCCTTGTTCATTCAAGGACAGGGGGCAGGCCTGATGTTACAGGAACAGAGTGGGGAGGAGAAAAACAAGGACAAATTCCCCAAAGCACCTGGTTGTAACCCTGCAAGGAAAGTGAAGGGATTGGGGTGGGATCTGCTGTGCTGCTCCCCCCATACACCTCCAGGCTGATGAAGAGCAAGCCATGCCCACAGTCCTTTCTGAGGTCGCTACATGGCTTTGCTCACTCTCCTATCCCTGGAGACCACCCTACGGTGTCCGCCTTGCCCATCCAGGCACATTTGGCCACCTCCCCCTCAGCCGTCACTGCACTCTCATCCCTGCTTCCATAAACATCCCAGAGCCCATCCCCAGACCCACAGGATTGGACCCTGTGCTTCACTCCCCTTGCTCCTTTCCCTGCACTGGCCCGTCCCATCACCAGGGTGCCCAGTGTCACATCTCTCAGCCCCCCACCACCGGAAGTGGTCATCCCTGGATACCTCCGGGTACCTGGGCCAGGGCACACAAGAGCCAGAAGAGAAATACTTCGTGCAAGGATTGATGATTTCTCGTTTGTGCAGGGTGGACTGGACAGAGGAGCAGTTGGTAGCAGACATTCTTTCTGTTTATCTGCTGTAGGGAGGACAAGGTTGGACAAGTGAGGGCTTTCCAGAATCCTGGAAAGGCAGAAGAGTTAAGAGCAGGTTTTGGGAGATCCCTCCACACACCACTTTTCCAGGCATGAGGGAAAGTAATGTGTTCTGGCCTACTTATCCCCTCTTTGTTCCTCCCAGCCAGGCAGTTTCCCATATAGAACGGATAAGGTCAGGAGCTAGTGGAACAAAGACACTCTGACCCATAGAAAGCCAGTAAAGATTCACCCATTCCAGAAGGAGCTGCTTGGAGCACCAGCCACTCACGATTCAGAGGGCCACCAGCCTGGGAAACCACTGTAGAGCATTTCATAGCATCAAGTAAAACAAAAACAAAAACTCTAGATATGAAAGAAACAGCATAAATTTATTTCTTCCCCCTGGAAGGAGTCCAAAGAGCTCAATTTCTAAAATTTAATTCTCCGTTTCCCTTGTATTTTTTTCCTTGTATTTTTATCGTGTTCCAAAATGATGGGATATTGGAACACATGTGTTAAGTATATCTAGCTTCTTTTCAGCACCACCTACTTCTCCATCCCATCCCCACCCACCCTGGGCCAAAACTGTACAATGAAAGGGTTTTCATGCATTATGTTCATGCATTATGTTCCCAATACTGGGGCTAGTATTGGGACAAGAGGATGGACGGTGGACTTAGCTCAAATCTTGCCCTACCACTGTGTCAGCGGCATCTTTTTCAGTTTTGGGGCTTGTTTTATGATATCAAAGAGGGAAATAGCTCCTCCTATTATCTCCATCAGACCTCAGACACTCCCTTTTTCACGTTTCCCTCCCCCAAATCTGCTCCTCTTCAAGGCCAGACCAACCACCCTAGCCCACAAAGTGTAAATGACTTAGTAGTTGGATTGCATATTAAGAAGCACCCATAGGGGCAGTCCTTAGGCCCTTTCTCTCTCCAGATGTAGGGTGATAGAGCTCAGGTTCTGAGGGTGAGGTGGAGGGGGGGTGTCTTCAACCCTGGAGGTAGCTGCCTGGAACATGTCCCCTAAAGCCGGCTCTGCATTTAACACAAGCTGGTTTTGTAAGCTCAGTTAAATAATATGAACCCCAGCAGGCCTTGGCACGGAGTGTGTGCAGACCCTCACAACAAAAGCCTTCATTCACTTCCTTTTCCTTCACTTCAGGTCCACGCACACACGCTTAACACTGAATGAGGACTTCCTGTGTGGTCAGCAGCCATCACAAACTTGTAGAGAAAACTTCTTTAGGGCGAGGAACCTTGAATAGATTAAAATCTTCCATGGCTAGGTAAAGGTGGTGAAATAAAGACTGGTCTAATCTAGTACTCTAAGGACTTAAAGAAATTAATATTCAAACCAAAAGAAACCAAATTTCATTTTGCCTCTTTTATTTAAAGTTTCATTTAAATATCTCTAATAGTCAGAAAATCATTGTCAAATAAGAACATTGCTATACAGCTTAAAATACAAATGTCAGCAAATATTAATGAACATGGTTAATAATTTTTCCAAGTAAATGCTTGATAAGAAATATTTTCCAGGAAGCAAGTTAAACATCAGCTGCCCCAGGTATGGGGGACAGAGCTTCAGCCTGTTTAGGAAATGGTGGCACAGCAGCCCATGTTCCTTCCTCAGTGATACACAAGGCGGCTTGCGTGACAATTGTACTGCCAGCCTTCATAGCCCAGCTCCAAAGCTACACTGGGGCTTCTTCTGCCAGAGGAAGGAGTCATATACAGAGACAAATGCACCACTTTAAGACGAAGCTAGGATGGCTCCGTTCCAGCATACTCTGGTTTAGTCTGGAAGTGAAGGCCTCCCAAGAACTGTCAAATGAAGATCGGTTACAGGAACTGATGGACAATAGAGTCAAGCCAGACTCATTCTGAACACATTTTCTTGTTCCCTACAATTCGTTATTCTCTTCTTTAGCTGACTCAAGTTCAAGCTGTTTATATTTCACTTACGCACAGAAGGTGCCAGCTCAATTGCGTCTAACCTGAACTTTACCCAGTGTGTCCAATGCTAAAGATCTTTTAGGCCAATCATACTTCTGGGAAAACAATGTTTATATATTAACATACCTCAAAGTTCACATTTTCATTATAACAAAAACAGTTTCTAAAAAATAACAAATGAGCTTTAAGTTACAAATAATATCTCAGAAAACTGAATCTAACTCTTGACCTAGCATACTAATTTTGAATTTAGAACTAATACCATCTTCTCTATCCATATTGGCTAATCCTCAGAATCAGCAGAGCTGTGTTATTTATACATAGAATAGTATCTATATTATGCCAATATTATCAAAGCTTCTTACCTAAACTAATACACAATTTAAATAATCAGAGCATATTTTATTCAAGTTACATCCAAAATATTAAATGGTCAATCTTATTTTTTAGTTCGTTTTGAAGGTCTCAATATTGAAGTCTTTTTTTAAAAAGATTTTTATTTATTTATTTATTTATTTATTTATTTGAGACACAGAAAGAGAGGCAGAGACACAGGCAGAGGGAGAAGCAGGCTCCCTGCAGGGAGCTCGATGCAGGACTCGATCCCAGGATCCTGGGATCACAATCTGAGTTGAAGGCAGATGCTCAACCACTGGGCCACCCAGGCGTCCCTCAATATTGAAAGCTTTACATAAAAGAAATGATAGATGCTTTAGAAGACTGACAAATCCTACCAACCCCTCTCAAATTCCAGCGTCCTCACACACTAGCCAATGTGTCTCAGAAAGGCCAATGACACCAGAGATGGGGTCAAGGAGTCAGACATGCTGGGTCTTAACTAGGAGACTTCTTGGAGCATTCAGGGAAAGAGCTGAGACTTCACAGTGGAAAAAGGCAGACAATAAACCGAACCTTCTTTCTTTTTTTTAAAGTTTTTTTTTTAATATTTTATTTATTTATTCATGAGAGACAGCGGGAGAGAGGCAGAGACACAGGCAGAGGGAGAAGCAGGCTCCATGCAGGGAGCCTGATGTGGGACTTGATCCCAGGTCTCCAGGATCAGGCCCTGGGCCAAAGGCGGCACTAAACCGCTGAGCCACCAGGGCTGCCCCGAACCTTCTTTCATCTTGATATACCAATTAGATAGCAGGAAAAATATTGGGGAGAGAAAAAACACAGATATGCTTGAAGAAGCAGGCGGGAAGTCTGTATTCTTTCAGCTGTCCCATGAGTTACTGAATCAGATGCATTTTATGACCTATGCGAGGCTCCCCAACAGGATTCAGACACTGTAATCCTGGTAAATGCTCCGAGGGTGCACCAGAGTTTAGCTGGCATCAAGAACAAAGAATGTCAGACAAGCAGTCTTCAGCGCTAGCAACCAACTTCCATGCAAGCACAATAGTAATGATTCACGTTTTATTTCTCAGTTAAGATCTAGATCAAAAGGAACACTAATGGTTTCAGAATAAAAAGACCAAGGCTGAAGTGCTCAGAGTAGAGATGAGGCCCCTCTCACTAAACAGTTACACCGGAAAAGAGACAGGGGAATGTCCCCAGGCTAGAAGTACCCCAACACGGGAACGAATGTCACCAAGACATGAAAAGTCAAACTTCCTTTTCTTCCCGTGGATGGCACACGGTGGTGAGATGAGGAGAAGGATCAACTAACATAGTGCAGAAGACAGAAATGTCAGTTTTGTGGGACTGTATTTGTGTTTCCATTTAGGGACACATTTCCTGTTGTTTAAATGCCATCACAATTCACGAGAACATGAAATTCATTCCCTGAGTAAGGGTGCACGTGGTTTAATTTGAAATAAACTCAAAGATGTGCTGCCCACAGAAGCTATTACGGGTCACATTTTTATTTTTGCCCTGACTCCTATACTAAATATGGTCTGGTCCCCGAGGAGCAGCCGTGGTGGTTCAGGTCACAGTCTCAAAGCAAGTGTCCCACCTGACAAATCTCACTCAGCCCTCTTTGTCACTGCCTCTCAGGATGCACACGGGCAGCCCTGGTTAGTGACTTCTGAAGTCCTTCATATTTTCACCTGTCCAGACTCGGGCTGAATCTTACGTCCACAACCCACCACATCAGCCAGTCCTGCCCACACATCAGTCACAACTACATACTACATGATGGATTACTCCTTCCCTGCCGCCATCTGAAGAGGGAGACTTCCTCCAGGACAGCACTGCACAGTCAGCAGCAGCAGAGGTAGGAGGATAAAGTGGAATTCACAGAACATTGAGGGGTATAATCAGAAAACCTAAGAGCTCTAAATAACCTCCCACCCAGAGGCTAGGCCCCAGAGGGTATTTCATTAATGCAGGGAAGGCCAGGAGTTAAGGCGCAGACTGAAGTTCCCTCCCAACATGGCTCAAGGTTCAAGGGGTGGGACACAGTGGAAGGGATCACAAGCCGCACAAGTGAATTCAGCTGGTCCAGAGGCCTAGCTGCCCCCCTTCCCAGCCACCTCCCCTCAGCTGAAAATCAAGACAAGTCATTCCAAGCATGCTTATAGCAGGCCCGTTTGCAAGTCTGAGAACTCAATTTTAGAACAAACTAAAACACAACTAGGATGCAGCATCACAAAATATTTGCACAAGTATAATCACACACAAGAGTTAGAATATTGCATAGAAAAGTATTCTAGAATATGCTTTGTAAACCTATGTCTTAGTAACTTAAAAAATAAACAAAACTTCCCTTCATAGTCTAGACGTCCATGACTGTGAATTAAGGAAATTGCCAGGTTTGCAGATCATGTGGCACAACCTCAGAAAATCCTAAAGTTCTTCATATTCTTAGAACAATGATTAAATTTACCCATCGGAGGCTTACCAACAATGTCCTTATGCAGAAGAGGTGATCAACACATACGAGGACATGAAAACATTATTACTGCTTTTAAACCAAGGCTGGTTTTTTTTCTCATGTCAGTTTGTTATTAAGCAAGCTACATCTGCCTGCCTTTTTACCAGTAAGGACTAAAGAGCCAGTTTAAGAGTAAGTGGAAATATCTTAGAAAAGCATTTAAGTTAATCTTGGGCATACAGGAGACTCTTAACCCCCCTTGTAATAGGCATCAATTGAGTCTGAGTTAAAATACACCACAGTGACAGTGATGTCATCCCTGTACATCCTTGCCAGGTCCTCTGGCAGTGTCAACATCGCTGTCAGCCGCTCCGGCTCCATCTCCCCATACTCATTGCTCCCTATGGCATGTCTGATCAGACGTGTGGCTGCGTTCTGGTCAGCTGCACAGAGCCCCTGGGCTTTCCTTTGCAGCAGCAGGCTCTGCATAAGGCCCAGGTTGGCAGGTCTCTGGGCCAGGTCTGGCTTGTGCCGACCTGCTTCAGCCAGGTGATCCACCACCAGCCTCACTACTTCCTCATTGCCCAGGACGTCCCACAGGCCATCTGAGGCCAGCACAAGGAACTTATCCTGAGGGCGCAGCTGGTGGTAGGTGACCTCAGGCTCAGCGGTCAGGTAGGGTGGGGTATAGTAGTGTGGAGGGGTGAACTGGTAAATGTTGAGGGCCTCAGTGTCAAAGCCCCTCTCCAGGACACTGCGCTGCAGCTCTTTACTCCACTTCAGCTGGACATCCCCAAAGGCCCTGCAGGGCATGAGGACGCCCAGCAGCCTGTTGTCCATTATGACTGTCCTGTCCTCTGATTCAGGGTGCTCTCCCTTCAGCCGTGACAGCTCAGCTGGATTCCAGGCATTGTGGTCACAGGTGAGGGGCAGACAAGACCACATGCCATTGTCCTCCTGGACCCCAAGGACAGCCCGACAGTCACCGGCGTTTGCCACGTGCAAGTGAACTCCATCAACATGGGCCACGCAAGCTGTTGCCCCAGAGAAGGCGACCTGGAGTGAAAGGTTCCTTGTCATCTCATCTTCCAGGGGGGCCTGGACTTCCAGCGAGATGTCAGAATCCAGTCTCTGGAAGGAGTACATTAATGCTTCCTTAATGTTGAGTCCCATTTCCATGTGCAAGTCAAGCAGCTCTTGCCAGTAGACTCGGAGGTGATCAAGATGCACTGATGTGACATCCTTGTAGATGCTGTCCCCTGGGTGCTTGAGCCAATGCAGGATGGGCAGCAGGGGCTTCATGCTTTCCATGGCTCCCTCCATCTGCTCCAGGGTCTGCTGGGACATCAGTGACACTGCCATGTAGTAGAAGAGCCTCTCACTCACTGCTTGAGCACACGCGTGGCCACCGTGACCATCAAAGATGCCAAACATCAACCCATTGGTCTGCAGGCAAGAGGCGATGCCTCGCCGGTCTTCCACTGGGGAATTGGCAGCCAGCTGGTTGCTCTCAAACCGTAACACTGAATTTGGGACTCCACTGACAAGGTCAAGAATCTTGTGGGCTGACTCTCCTGCTCGCAGCACTTCATTTACCTGCTCAGGGCTGAGCTGCAAGTGAAAATCATCTTCCTCTGTTGAAGTGTGTCTGTAGGCTTTCTGCAGAGCAGAGCCACTGCAAGGGCCAATGCTTTTTACTGGTGCCTAGTACCTGGGAAAAGAGTCTCAATCTTGATTCATTTCTATTTGAGGCACACCTTGAATATAAGCGTCTGCCCCCCTGTAACGTGGCAATGCTGTTCCTTGCAGAATTTTTTAAGATCCAGAAGGGCAAAGTACTTGACATTATGAAACTATACCAGCAAATGTGTTCCTTCAGCAAAAGGGGCTTTCTTTAAATCTGAAAATTAGAGAGTTAAAGAAAGCTCAAGTTTGATTTCTTAAAAACACTGACTTCTGAAAACATTTGCTACCATCCTAAACAAAAGTGATTTAAGATAAATTTTAAAAGAGTTGACTAAATTAAAAATACTTAAGCAAGTCTCCCTACCTCCATTACAACACATAAGTAACATTCCAGAAAATGGGGAAAATATGTTCTCCACTCCTAAAGAGCCACTGAAGGCTTTCCCACAGACCTCACTCATTCCTCACAGCGAACCCAGGGCCCCCTCTTTTCTTTTTCTTCCCAAATCCTTTCCCTTGCCAGAGCCTGGTGTCTCGCTCCCATGTGCACTCTCCCCAGCAGACTGTGTTTATTTAAATATCTGCTTCTCCACCATTCTATAAGCTCCATGAATTCAGGAAGCTGGGCTCCCTTACTCAACAGTGGCTCTCCAGTGCCCAGCCTTATACGAGGCACACAACAGGCCCCCAAATACTGGCTAGATATAACATTTCCAGGGGCCCAATAACACACCAGGTATGACAGTAGCTAACATCAGACATACTGTTTCACCTGCCTGAGCGCCACTTGTCTGACATGATGAGGATACTAGCCCCTGAGGTTTTGTGAGGATTTAATGAAATATGACCCTTCTGCTCCAAAAGGTCATTGTTAGTTTTATCACTAGGTGACTCCTCTAATCATTCTGTATACATTTTTATATACTTGAAACCACAACTTACAATGTGGTTTCCTTTTTAGGAGCATTTTATTCATGATAAATACATTTCACGGGTGTGCATGGATCCCCATTTTGGCATAAAAATCTCAATTTACTTACCTGTTCTCTAGTGTTGTAAATTTAGAGGTCGTTTCCCCTGGCTAACATTTATGAAACACCAAACTGCACTGCCCTACACACCAACCTTTTTCTTACTTAGGCTTTAACCCACTTATTTCCCAAAGGCGCAATCAGTAGGTCAAAGGGTGTAAACTCATGTTGCCAAACTGATTTCCAAAAGGTTCACATTTGCCTCCACAAGGACATGAAGGGAACAGTTTCCTAACACCTTCAAGAGACTCTGGTGGTATTTTTTTCTTAAAAGAAAAGAAAAGAAAAAAAAAAAAGCTGCTCTATTTTCTCGGGTGACCTCAGAGGAGCGTTTCCCACGTGTTTCTGGATTTCGTTCAGGAGCCTGCCCTCGCAAATTGGTCTGTTGGGGGCACTGGGGGCTCTCAGACCTGAGGCCCGTCCTCCTGCCCCGGCCCGGCCGGGCCCGCGGAACCTGGAGCAGGGGCGGTGGGTGACACCGACCGAGGGCGCCTGGCACCTCCCACCCCTCCCGGGCCCTGAAGAGAAACCAGGCAACCGGGCCCGACGCGAGGCGGTCGGCCCAGCCGGAATCCAGACGATTCCGGGTCCCTGAAGAAACCAAACAGGCCGCGAGTTCAGGTCTCCGCCCCTCAGCGTCCTGGGCAAGAGCGCTGCCGTCTCGGGGCTCCACCAAGCCCGGCGCCGCCTCATCCCCGAGCCCCAGCTTCCCAGCCTGCAAAACGGGTATTCGGTCGAGGGGCCGAGCTCCCGGGGGTGCTCCCGGGGCCAAGGCGGCTCGTGCGGACGCCCGGGTCCGACGCCAAGGGTCCTCGGCAAGTTCCAGAGCCCACGTGGCGCGCGCGCGTGGGGGGGTGACCGCGGCTGCCGGCCCGCCCCGCCCCGCCCCTCGCCTCACCTCGCCTCGGCTCTCCACCTCATCACCTGATCCAGTCCAGCGGGCCGCGGAGGGCCGGACGCGGGCGACGCCCTGCGGGGCTGCAGGAGCCCCCATCCCGCGGTCGCCCCCTTCCCTACCTCGGACCTTCGCCCCCTCTCACCAGCTCGCGCCGCGGCCGCCGGTCCGTCCCGTCAGCTCCGCGCCTGCGCACACCGCCGCGGCCGCCGCCCCTCCCGCCTCCTCCCCTCCAAGCGGCCCCTCGCGCGGGTCCAGCGGGAGGAGGAAGCGCCGCTCGCCAGCTCTTATTGGCTCACCCGCGGAGGCGGGCCCTTGACGGACGGCGGGACTGCCCAATGGCTGAGGAGGACGAGAGGGCGGGCCGGGCGGGGGGCGCGGATCCGGTTTCTCCCCACCCATCCCCTGCAGTCTCCTGGGCTCTGAGCGTGGTGGGCTGAGCAGGTGGGCCGCCTGCTCCGCCGGGCTCTCGGGCCCGCACCCGCACCACGTGACCGCCCGCACCGCACACCCCAGGCCGAGCACCCCCTTCAGTTCCTTGCTGTTGATAATACCTCAGGCTCCCTCCGTTGCGTCGCCCACCAGTGCCGACCCCTCTCCCAGGCGCCACCGCCTTGTACTCCAGCCCGTGGACACTCCCTCTGGAGGCCTCGAACGCAGCTTGCCTGAGACTTGCCTTCCGGCTAAACCGGCCCTTCCTCTCCTACCCTAACCCAGTAAGGGCCCACCGTTCAACCAGATAACCTGAATCAGCCCTCTGGGGGGTGTTTTGTTTTGTTTTACGATTTATTTTGATTTGAAAGAGAGAAAGAGAGAGAGAGAGAGAGAGAGAGAGGCGAGGAAGAGAATCCCAAGCAGATTGGCACTGAGCACGGGGAGCCCGAGGTGGGGCTGGATCTCACAACCCTGAGGTCATGACCTGAGTGGAAACCAAGAGTCGAGGACTTGACTCACTGAGCTACCCAGGCGCCCCCCAAGCCTGGGAGTCTTGACTGCTCCCTGTCTCTACGCCCTCTCCTGTTAGTTCTGTAATCCTGTTAATCTTATCTCCCAAGCATCTCTCCAATCCACACATTTGTCTCAGGCGACTTCACTGCCCTATTCCAATCCTCTCATCCGGTTTCCCTGCCTTCAACTTCCAATGTAGCAGCTCTTCCTTTATAGGACAGGCAGTGACCTTTCTAAAACTCAAATCCCTTCTCTAAAGTCTTCATTGGTTCCCCCAGGGACCATTGGGCCTTCAAAAAAAAAAAAAAAGACAATTACATTGGTCTGATCACCGACAGTTACGAGAAACGGTTAGTGGTTGGTAGGTTGAGAAAGGCTGAGAACCAAGACACCAGATAATCACCTTGTGGGATTTCAGTTATCTCCTGCTTGCTTATTTTTTAAATTTTTAATTTATTTTTAAGATTTTATTTGTTTATTCATGAGAGATAGAGAAAGAGGCAGAGACAAGGGCAGAGAGAGAAGCTGACTGCGGGGAGCTTGACTTGGGACTCCATCCCGGGACCCTGGGATCATGACCTGAGCCAAAGGCAGATGTTCAACCACTGAACCACCCAGGCACCCCATCCCCTGCTTGCTTATTAATGGCTTTGCTTGAGCTTTTCTACTAACTGTGGTAAGGCAAGTGCAGTCCTTCCCTAAAAGCAAAGAAAAGCAGATGACCAGAAAGGCCACTTACAGTCCTGAAAATGTGGTCTTTGGGAAGGAAGGTATGCTGGCTTACCTGGAGAGTGTGGCCAGCCCAAGGACATGCCTACCATCAAACTGGACCCAAGGATGTGCCTACCATCAAACTGGACCCAAGGACGTGCCTACCATCAAACTGAACCTAAGGATGTGTCTGCCATCAAACTGCTCCTGTCAGACTTGCTTCTGATATGAATTTATACTGCCACTCACCCTTGGCCTTTTACAGAATTGTTACCAGTAAATCAGAACATGCATTATCTCTCTTCCTGGGTATGGAAGAGACAAGGCTGTTTCAGACTGAAACTAAAAATAGCCCTAAACCATTCCAAACAAATGGGTGCAATTTTGTTTTTATTTTTCATATACATGATCCATTTGGGGTGACAAAGGGGTGACCACTTATGGGTGCCTGATGTGACTGCTGGAGACACAGAACTGGCTGCCCCCACCACACTTTTCTGAGCAAAATTACATCACTCGGCTAAGTCTGAAACCACAGTTTTTCTAAGTTAGCACACACACACACACACACACACACACACACACACCAATTCCAAAATGAAAATATACCCTTGATGATTTTGTGTGCACTGGAACTTTCATTTAGGGCCGATAGCTAGCTCAGTCACTGACATATGATGGCCAGCCCAAGAACTCCAGTGAGTCTCCCAGTGCTTCTTTGTCTCAAGGTCTTATAAGAAGGAAAAATGAAGGAAAAAATGAAGGAAAAGGACTTATCTCTCCTTGAGAAAGGAAAAGCACCAGATCAACTGTCATTTGCTTGCTGAGGAAATGTAAAAATATTCAGTTTCAGTTAAAACCAAAAGCAAATGTGAATTAAAATGAGATGTTGGTTTTTGTCAATCAACCTGAGAAACATCAAAACATGATTAGTACTTCATATCGGTGAGTAGGCATTGCCACCTAGGCAGCTGGGAGCATAAATTGAGGCTACCCAATGGACAGATCTTTGATCCACTTATTCTATTTCCTTTAGTTTATCCTAAAGGGACAGTTAAAAGTAGGGGCACCTTGATGGGTCTGTTGGTTAAGCATCTGACTCTTGGTTTAGGCTTGGGTCATGATGTCGGGGTTGTGAGATCAAATTCTGCCTCGAGCTCCACACTCAACAATCAGCATGGAGTTGGCTTGAGATTCTTTCCGTCTCTGCCATCTCCATCTCCCTCTCTCTCCCCCAGGTGTGCATGCATGCTCTCTATCAAATAAATAAATAAAGATAAAATCTTAAAAAAAGAAATAAAGGTAAAAATTAGAAATTTTCTACAGTAAATATACATATATATCACTCCATCTGGCCTATCTTGTATAATCAGGAAAAAGAAGGAGGAGGAAGAGGAGGAGGAGGAGGAGGAGAATAAGAAGGAGAAGGCGCAGCAGCAGCAAAACTGTATTTTAAAAAAACAGCCTGACCCGGGTAGGGAGTTAGATCCCTTGGATGATTCTGGCAAAATTCCCCGATTCTCTAGCTACGCAGAGAAGAGCTTCTGTGGAATGTCTGGAAAGCTGGATCTGAGGATGACCTTGTGTCAGGAGGAACTGAGGTGGTACAGCCAGTTTTTCCAACTGTCAAATCTAGAACATCAAGGCCTGATATCTGGGAGAGTTTGTAAAAACTTCAGATATCTACTTTGCCAGTGAGCAGATGTGGAGTGGTTCTGAGGCATCAGTGCTCCCCAGTGCATGTGAATAAACCCAGAAAAACCTTCCTACTGATGTGAGCACATCTGGGCTCTCAGACGATTATCTCAGACTGGTGCCATCCTAAATCAAATAATTCAGCTTCACCATCTTTGGGCAAGCAGCTGGCTTTTCCGGGCACTGTCTTCTCCCAAACTGACCACACACACGGACACGTGTGTGCATGCATGCATATTCACACACACCACAGAGCCCCCTTTCCTTTATTTTATTTATTTATTCATGAGAGACAGAGAGAGAGAGAGAGAGGCAGAGACACAGGCAGAGCGAGAAGCAGGCTCCATGCAGGGAGCCCGATGTGGGACTCAATTCCGGGACCCCAGGATCATGCCCTGGGCCGAAGGCAGGTGCTAAACCACTGAGCCACCCAGGATCCCGGCCCCCTTTCCTTCAGAGGGAATGGTTAACAATCCCTGCAGAGCAGCAAGCTCAACGACATATTTAGCAAGTCCCAGAGATGCCAGTGACAAACAAAAGCTTGGAGATTTTTTTAAAAATAAAAGTCTTGCCTCAACCCTCTTCTCAAACCTGTTCTGAAGCAACAGAGCTCACCCGGTTATCAGGAAGCCTCAAAGTGGTGTGTTAAGCTCCTAGCTCAGAGAGCCAAAGCTAAAGATTGCCCTTCACTAGGGGAAGATGGGCAGACCCCTTTGGGGGGAACTGGACTGGTGTTTCTGTCTCTTGAAGGCTTCTCCAAACACAAATCAATCTCTTTCACTTGCTTGATGGATCAGCTGCACCCAAGGCTATGATGGCCCGGGCCAGAGGTCATCTCCTATGACCACAGAATAATCGATCTTTTTGCCATCATCATCATCCCACAGCCATCTCTATTCAGACTCATTCACTGGCAGGCCCAGAATTTTCCATCAGCCTGGAGTCCTAAGCCTGACACCCCAGCTCTGGCACCTATTTGCTGTGTGATCCTAGTCCAGTCACTTCCTCTCTCTGAGCCTCTGTAGAACTATTTGCTTGGGAAGGGCATTTTTGTGGGCCTTGTTGTTGTCACTAGCACTTCAAGCTGCCAATGACCCATACCCTTTCTTGAAAGTAAATTTGGAGTGGGGCAGAAGAACAGCTCTAAGGGTTTGGTATGGGTAAGAGGAAGCAAGAGGAAGTTGGAAGACTGCCCTGGAGACCCCGGAAGTGCAAGCTTCTCATGCTTTCTCTTGCAGCTGCAGGGTGTGGAGTCCGCTGGATCAGCCAGCAATGGCCCCGTGGCATGGCTTGTGCTACCCTGTGAAATTCTCCAAGAAACTGAGGATGCCCAGCAGCCACTCAGCACCGCTCCTGAAGCACCCCTTTCAGGCCTAGGGCAACTCTTTGAGGGACCAGAGGACACAGTAGGCTAGGCTAAGGGATAGGGTGGGAGTGCAGTGTCACCTGAGCAGGGGCCCCTGGCATCGAACAGGAGCATGGGGTTGGAAAGGCCAGAAAGGAGCTATTAGCTAGTACAGAACAGAACAGCAGATGAAAAACCAGATTACAATGGGTGTGTGTGTGTGTGTATGATAATAACAATTATTTATTTATCTATTTTTTTCTTCCTCCTCTTTTTCTGTTTGTCCATGCCTTTGCCTGCAGAGAAAAGTTTAGCAGGACACATGCCCAACAGTTAAGAATGCTTATCTCTAGGTCATGAAACTTTCACATTCTTTCTTTTCCATGTATTTCTTTATACACTTTTTTTTCTTTTTTAACATGCAGCATGTATTTAACAATCAGGAAAATCCCCAATAATGTCTATCCTACAC